CATGCTAAAGTCGAGGTTCATCAAGTCGATGAGGGAGGACCAGTGATAAACTTTGGGCCAGCAGATGTGGGGGAAGTCGAGAGGCCTCACAATGACGCCTTAATGATAACCGCCCAAGTGTCGGGCTATGAGGTGCGAAGGATTTTTGTTGACACAGGAAGCTCGATAAATGTGATCTTTTACGACTGCCTCAAAAGGATGGATCTCGACATTGAATTATCACCCCTCCATACATCACTTTTCGGCTTCAACGGCTCGGAGGTCGCGCCCTTGGGAGAGGCCACCCTCGCTGTCGTTTTGGGAGAAGGAGATTTGCGAAAGGTTAAGATGATAAGATTCGTGGTAATCGACGTCGAATCAGCTTATAATGTGATTCTTTGTAGGTCGGCGCTGAATGCCTTCCAGGCTGTGGTATCGACTTACCACATGAAATTGAAATTCCCAGTTGGTGATCGGGTAGGAGAAGCCCGAGGGAATCAGAAATTATCCAGAGCCTGCTATCAGATAGCTGTAAAGGCGAACCAGCGAGCGGAGGTGAGGGAAGGAAAAAAGCCAGTATCGAACGAAAAAAGGCTGAGGGGGAGTGACCTCGAGCCGCATGGGGAGCTAATGGAAATTCAAATCGGAGAAAGGGAGGACCAAACCACCAAAATAGGGGGAGAATTGGAAAATGAGCTGAAGAAACAATTGGTGGAATAATTAAAGGACTTTAGAGACATATTCGCCTTCTCACCCGAGGAACTAACGGGTATCGATCCAGAGATCATGGAGCATAAACTCAATGTCGACCCTCTTAAGAAACCCGTCAAGCAACGACTCAGACACCACGGAGCTGAAATAGACAAAGCGATCGAGGTCGAAGTCGATAAATTATTGAAAGCTAAGCACATTAAGGAAATCCAGTTCCCTGAGTGGATCTCCAACACAGTGATAGTGAGGAAGGCGTTGGACAAATGGCGGATGTGCAATGACTTCTGCGATTTAAACTTGGCATGTCCTAAGGACCATTACCCTCTGCCAAGGATTGATCAGCTAGTCGACTTTACTGCTGGCTGCGAGCTACTAAGCATGATGGATGCGTCCCAAGGATATCATCAGATCCCATTAGCCCCCGAGGATCAGAGCAAAGTTAGCTTTGTTACAAGTAAAGGAACGTATTGTTACGTCGTCATGCCCTTCGGACTCAAAAATGCAGGGGCGACATACCAAAGATTGATGGATAGAATGTTCAAGTCGCAGATTGGGCGCAATATGGAGGTGTATGTGGACGATATCCTAGTAAAGAGTAGGTCCTCAACTTCACATGTAGAAGACCTAAGAGAAGCATTCAGAACACTAAGAACGTTTGGGATGATATTAAACCCGACCAAATGCGCCTTCAGAGTGAGGGCCGGGCGATTCTTGGGTTACGTCGTGACCGAGAAGGACAAGGTGCAGGCCATTCTCGACATGGCCCCGCCAAAAAACATCAGAGAAGTTCAAGTCCTTACAGGTTGAATTGCTGGTCTAAGCAGGTTCATCGCTAGGGCTGCAGAGAGAAGTTTCCCAATTTTTAAACTGCTCAAGAAAAAAGCTTTTCAGTGGAATGACGAGGCCTAAATGGCATTCGAGAAGTTGAAGGAATTTTTGATTGAACTGCCACTATTGACCAAACCAGAGCCGGGTGATGAGTTGGTACTCTACATTTCGGTGGGAATATTTTCTTTAAGTTCCATATTATTGCGGGAAACAGGAGATGCTCAGCAGCCAATTTACTATACGAGTAGGGTACTTCAAGGCGCAGAGGCGAGATACGCCGGGGTCGAGAAGGCCGCCCTAACCTTGGTAATAACGGCCAGAAAGTTGAGGCCTACTTCTTAAATCATGTGATAATAGTAAGGATAAATTTTCAATTAGGAGAGACTTTGGGTCGACCTACGGTTTCCGGTTGACTCGTGAAGTGGGCGGTCGAATTAAGCGAATATACCATCAAGTACGAACCGCGAAGAGCCATAAAGGCCCAAGCTCTAGTAGATTTCATCCAGGAAGGGACCAGGGGAGAGGGCAAAAAGTGGATCATGCATGTCGACGGGTCCTCTGCGGCTAGAGGATCTTGTTTGGGAATCGTCCTATTATCCCCTGAAGGTGAGCAGCTCGACTTCGCCATCTGAATGGGATTTAAGGCCTAGAACAACGAAGCGGAGTATGAAGCCCTGATCAAGAGGATTCAACTGGCAATCGGTGGCGGAGCAACGGAGATCATGGCGCATTCCGATTCACAGCTTGTGGTGGGGCAAGTGTTGGGTAATTGCGAGATTAAGGAGGATCGAATGCTAAAATATGTTGGAGAAGTCCAGAGCCTGGTGCAAGGCTTGAAAAAGTTTGAGCTAACACAAGTCCCTCGAGAAGAAAACAAGCGGGCTAATTGGCTCGCAAGAATTGCGAGTTCAAATGAAGGGAAGATGGGGAACCACATCACCACCCTGCACTTAGAAGGGAGCGTCCTAAGGGAACCGATGGAGGTCGATGAAAAACAGGATTGGCGGATAACAATTCGTGAGCTACTACAAGCTCGAGTGCCGGAAGGAGACAAACAAGAGGTGGAGAAAGCATCTCGATATTTGAGTAAATACTTTGAAATTGAAGGAATCTTATATAAGAAATCGATGATTCGGCCCCACCTGCGATGCGTCTCCGAAGAAGAAGGGAATCATGTCTTAAGAGAGATCCAAGAAGGATGTTGCGGGTCGCATATAGGATCGCGCGCTCTAGCAGGCAAAGCCCTTCGAGCAGGCTATTACTGGCCCAAAATCAGGAAAGCAGCCGAGCAGCTGGAGCAAGGATGTGACAGATGCCAGCGCCATGGTCAAATCCCCCACATTCCGGCCGAGGCAATGACAACTATCAACTGTCCAATCCCTTTTGCTCAATGGGGGATCGACTTGGTCGGTCCACTGCCGATGGGAACAGGGCAAAGAAAGTTCATGGTAGTCGTTGTCGACTACTTTAGCAAATGGGTGGAGGCAGAACCTCTGGCTAAAATCACCGAGGATAAAATGATACAATTCTTGTTCAAAAATATCTGCTGTAAATTCGGGATCCCAAAGGTCTTGATTTCAGATAACGGAATGCAATTTCAAGGGAAGCGGATCCAAGCGTGGAGTCTCGACATGGGGATCAAGCAGCGGTTCGCTTTCGTTGCCCACCCGCAAGCAAACAGCCAAGTCGAAGTGACGAACAGAACCATCCTGCAGGGGTTAAAGAAAAGACTGGAGAAGGATCTGGCGCTTGGGTCGATGAGCTGACAAACGTCTTAGGGGCCTATAGGACGACCCCGAGGAGTTCGACAGGGCAATCACCTTTTCACATGGTGTATGGGATTGATGCTTTATTGCCTATCGAGATTGGCATAGATTCTCACAGATCAACGTTCTACGAAGAAAAGAACAACGATAAATTGAGGGAAGAAGCCCTCGACATGACAGAAGAAGTACGCAAGGAAGCTTGGCTGCGATCCGTAGAGTATAAATAGAAGATGCGTGCAGCCTTCGATAAGAAAGTGCGAACCAGGCGATTTCAAGTGGGAGACCTCGTACTAAAGAGGGCTGATGTTCTGAAGCATGTTGGGAAGCTAGAAGCAAACTGGGAAGGGCCATACACAGTCACCAAAGTACTCGAAAGAGGCGCATATGAACTTGAAGATATGGAAGGACGACAGCTACCGCGATCATGGCATGTTATCCCTCTCAAACGTTTTTATACTTAAGTAATGTTCTTGAATCTTCTTTTTGTACTGAGCCACGATCAAATCATATTCAGTAATGAAACGAATTTTGAATTTACTCTTCAAATGCGTCTCTATATTTATTTGTTCTCTTACATAATCGTTGGATGAACTGAATTTTTCGAAACGGCTATATAGCCGACTAATCCTGTCGACTACGAAGTCGATCCAAACAACTACGAAGTTGTATGCCTCGAGTGGAATCTCGGCAAGGCTACGAATCCTATGACTACGAAGTCGATCTAAGCAACTACGAAGTTGTATGCCTCGAGTGGAATCTCGGCAAGGCTTCGAAGCCTTTGACTACAAAGTCAATCCAAACAACTACAAAGTTGTATGCCTCGAGTGGAATCTCAGCAAGGCTACGAAGCCTGCGACTACGAAGTCAATCCAAGCAACTACGAAGTTGTATGCCTCGAGTGGAATCTCGGCAAGGCTACGAAGCCTACGACTACGAAGTCGATCTAAGCAACTACGAAGTTGTATGTCTCGAATGGAATCTCGGCAAGGCTACAAAGACTTCGACCGTGAGGTCGATCTAAGCTAATTCGCCCTTCATACTACACGAACAGGCACTAATCGTACGATCCTGGGCGTAATGCTATAATGATGATCAATTTCTTTCCACATCCATGAAGTAATTAATAATTATGCTCGACTTCGAGCAGCTCGCACAGGGGGTTGGGAGAAGTCGACTCGAAAAAACTTGGTTTCAACAGCTATGAAACTGTCAAAATCTGTGCTCGACTTCGACCAGCTCGCATAGAGGGTTGGGAGAAGTCGACTCGAAAAAACTTGGTTTCAACATCTATGAAGCTGTCGAAATCTGTGCTCGACTTTGACCAACTCGCACAGAGGGTTGGGAGAAGTCGACTCGAAAAAACTTGGTTCCAACAGCTATGAAGCTGTCGAAATCTATGCTCGACTTCGACCAGCTCGCACAAGGGGGTGGGAGAAGTCGACTAAAAAAACTAGGCTTCAACAGCTACGAAGCTATCGAAATCTTTGCTCGACTTCGACCAGCTCGCACAGGGGGTTGGGAGAAGGGAAGACAGCAGATAAAATCGACTTTGGTTGGCATAGATAATAAAAACAATTCGACGATTAAAGAAAGCAACGAAACACTATACGAAATAAGGATCGATAATATTCATTAATGCATTACAGATAAATCCGCCTTGACCTTTACAAATTCAAAAATAGGTCGAGGACGAAAAGCAAGAAAAAGTAGATAACGGGCACAATCCCAAGATAAGGTAAATAAATCTAAGACTCGGCGTCCGATTTGTCAGTAGTGTCGCCACCATCATCGACAATGGTAGCAGTCTTCTCAGCATCAGCCTCTACCTGCTCTTCATTGGGGTCGTCGACAAGCGGCTCAGTGCCTTGCGCAGTATCCCCCTCGCCTTCCACATAAGCAGCCCCGCTCGGCTGGACTAGGTTGATCGGTCCAGCCAAAGGGGTAGGAGGAACCTCGAGTTGAGAGCTCAGCCTAGCCTCGAAAATGGCAAGAGCCTCGAGGCCCGACCACCAGGGGCGATCGAGAAGGGGATCACTGTCGACATAGCTTGTTGGATCTAGAAGAGTCTCTTTCAAGGCCGCTTTGTTGACTTTCCCTGCTAGCTTGGTGTCTGCCACGGCCGACTCCCAGGCCGAGAAGGCATAGCTAAAGTACTTGACGACAGTAGGAACCAGCTCGTCAAGGAAGTCGGAAGACTTGCAGAAGGCCTTGACGACTTCCTTACGATAGGTCTCCACAAAGATGGAGCCC